TCAGAGGCTTAATTTTTCTCATTAAGGAAATGTGTCTGTAAAAAAATGGTTTTTAAACCGTTTTCTTTATTTACATAATTTCTTCAACCTGGAGAACATAGTGTTTTATCAGGATCCTCATTAGCATTAGCTGCTTGATATTTTCTGTATTCTGTGATTTAATTAGCATCCCACTTGTGGATGGAATAGGTTGCACACATCCAGCTTCTGTGAACAATGTCAACATTCAGATTTCCCTGAGAATGTGGCTAATGCTAGCTTGACTAGCTTTCCACGCCTCTTTGGAGAAGCCTTTATAACCTCTCAGTAGTTTAGGTTTGCCTTCCATAAAATGGCTTTCCTCCCTCCTCTTTCGCAGAGGATCAAGAGTTAAACCTGTCAGTGTCCTCTGAAGACTGCAGAGCATTTTTAGAGTTGTCAGTTATTCCAATTTCTAACACGAGCAGAACTAACAAGAGACTTCTCACTAATCTGGATAGATTTTCTTTATTACTAAATTGGGTTTGTCAGTAGCTAACCTCCACTTGCAGTGATTGAAAACCTCAAGAGGTTATGCTTCACATTAATCCATTTTAGGGTGGTGGAATTTATTTCTAATTTTAAAAATCTCTAGAGAACATTCCAAAATGTTCTCCAGTAATTGTGCTACTTAACAACATAACGGTTTAACAAGCATCCGGCAAGGAGCGTGAGCAATGCGCGTTGTATTCTGACCTACATAGAGATAGCCGCCTCGCTGGGGATTAGGGCATGCCTTTGCCTGCCCGTGAGCTGACCAGGAGGCCATGATAACTACAAGTGCTGTTCAGTTATCCAGGTTTCGGGCTGAAGGAAACTTTACTTTTCGGTCATCCCCAGATTACCTTCAGGGTGAAATCCAAGTATAAAAGCCACTGGCCACTAATATCTCCAACTATACATTGACTTCTGGCTTAAGATGGCAGATTGAGCACAGAGATCTTTCCCTTCTGATTTCAAGCAGGTAGAAATGAGAGAAAATAAAACATAGCACCTACTGCTTCTCCTTCATTTTATTCCTCGTTCCAGGGAGCCCCCTGCCTCAAAAGTGGGTTCATATTCAGAGGGTCACCTGTGTTGGGCAAAGGGCTCCAGCCCAAATGGCCACAGGAGACCCAGACAGAGCCTCCAAGTACCCAGGACATTGCTCGCAACCACATCACCAGGAGTCTCTCATGAACCAGAACACTTTCAGGGAAGAAGCTGAGAGTCCCAGGGACCTGCAGGAACTATCCTATCCCCTAGAAAGCAGAACACCAGCTTAAGACACGTGAGCACTTAATACACAGGAGCTCTTTCAAGCACTTAAATATAAATTAATAGGGAAAGCAGAAAATGACATTTTGGGTTTTAAAAAAATTATCCATATGATAAAGGAGCCTACAACTATAAGAGGAGATTATCTTGAAAAAGAGCTAATTAGGGGTATTAGAAATTAAAATATAATTATTTGAAATTTTAAAATTTAGTAGTGAGATGAAAAACATCTAGATAATGCTAAAAAATTGATAAAGTGGAAAATCAAACTGAATAAATCACGCAGACGGCCCCAAAGACATAAAAAACATGGAAAACATGAGAGGAAAAAGCCAGCAATGTGGAGATTGGATCCAGTGGGTCCGCTTGTACCCTGGAAGGAGGAACAGAATGAAGGACAAGCAGTGTCAATGACATCATTGCTGGCAATGTTTCTGATATGGGACTGACAATAGTACTGGCTGCAAAGCATGGTTTTTAAAGAAAATCCGCAAGTGGACATTTTGTTTTTCAAGTAGGCTCCATCCCAAGCATGGAGCCCAACTCAGAGCTTGAACTCACAACCCTGAGAGCAAGACCTGAGCTGAGAGCAAATGTCGAGTGCTTAACCGACTGAGCCAGCCAGGCACATCACGAGTGGATGTTTTCTAATGAAATTCCAGAATATCAAATGTAAGGAGAGGATCTGCCTTCACCTGTGGACGTTTCCCACTCACACTTCCTCCCACCCTAACACCAACACAATTTCCTGAGAATGTTACATTCACTGATATCTTCATGCTCTTGCATTCCTTCTAGCTTGGAGGTTCTTCTTATACCTCTTTTATCTTGGCTAGCAAGACCTTTCCCCAGGGAATTCTTTCCAGAATTCCCCCTACTTCTTTCTTCCTGGTCATGGCCCACCCTGCTGCTCCTGCACTGACACTGTTGCAATACAGTTATGCTTTCCATTTGGCTCCCCTCCTGCTCCCCGAGCTTCTTAGAGTCTTCAGCTGTGATTCTTCAGGTCCCAGCAAGGTTCCTGGAGCATGATGGTCACACATGCTTGTCACCACCTCAAAAGATTTTGGAAGTGCATCAAAACACAAATCAGTGATTTAGCCAGATAGCAGTTGAATATGTGAACAAGTCACCAAGGTCCAGGGAGGCCAGGGTGAGAATCTTGGGACCGAGCTGATTATTGACAGAGTCAAGTGTCCTGGCTTGAAGACAGCACTTTATAGTATCTATCACAATGCTTTCACCACAGACTGTCCCTATTTAAAAGTCATGTGTTTAAAATACCTTTTAAAAACAAAGTAATAGTTTTTTTAAAAAAAGACATTTTTACATTAAATGTCTTGCAAAAAGAGATTTTCAGAAAGTGAACAAATTACCTTTTTCATCTTTAACCCAAAGTTTGTTTAAATGGAAGCCATGCCTTCTTTCCTCATTACATGCATGGATACCTCAAGAAGTGAGCTAGAATCTTCCTTAAATAGTGAAGTTACTTAGATTAAACTTATGTTTTAATAGGACTATTTATTTTCTGGCCATATGCTTAAGAGGGGCACCTGGGTGGCTCAGTCAGTGACATGTCTGCCTTCAGCTCAGGTCATGATCTCAGGGTCCTGGGATCGAACCCCGAGTTGGGTTCCCTGCTCAGTGGAGAGCCTGCTTCTCCCTCTCCCTCTGCCTTGCCCTCTATTCATGCTATCTCTCTAGCTCACTCTATCTCAAATAAATAAATAAAATCTTTTTAAGAAGAAATGTCTCAGAAATTTTTATACTTAGTTTTTGTTTTACTTATTTTTTATTGAAATATATTTAACATACGTATGTTTAAAGTATGCAACATGCTGATTTGATACATTTATATTTTGCGATATAATTGCCTTTGAGGAGTGAGCAAATACCTTTATCAGGTCACGTAATTATCATTTCTTTTTTTTAGTGGGAATAATTAAGATCTAATCTCTTCATAATTTTGATATTTATAATACAGATTGTTGTCTGTAATCACTATATTGTGCATTAGATCTCCAGGACTTACTTTTCAATTAGTTGCAAATATATTTCTCAATTACTAGATCACAGTGTAAGTTCACCGAATTGACGTCTAGTCATCTTTAAAATGTTCACTTACTGTTTGTTTTCCAAACGGAAATGCATTGCATCTGAAGCTGTGTGTGCCTTTTCCTGGGGCTGCTTCAGTTGCAGGTGAAAAGGTCCTACAGGGAAGAATTAGGTTTGCTTTAACATGTTTTATTTAGCACCTGGGAGAGCTCCACATATAATCAGGCCTAATGAGAAGGTCACTTTGAAAGGTATCATTCTGTAATTTTCAAAAGACTTTTGCACACATTAATCCTTTTTGATATTCAAAAAATCAGTCAATACACAAAGTAACACGTGACTCTTCTGACAACTTCAGTAATCGATAACATCTGGAGGGGCCAAAAGAAAGATATAGGAGATGTAATAAAATCCATGCACTCGAATCCTACAAGAAACTTTAGGGGATTTCATTCAGAGAGTACTTATTTATCATGCCATCAAGCAAACGTTCCTGTTTTTCCCACCTGCCACAGCTCATGAAACAGAAAATTAATAGAGGTAAAGGGTACTGTTGAAGGCAAGCTCTATGACAGTCCAAGATGGGGAAGCTGGCTCCACAGGTAGAAACCAAAAAGAGAAACAAGCATAACAACCAAACATCAAAATGTAGAAGCAACACAGATCTGAAACCCCCTCACCTGGGATGCACACAGACCTGCACACCTTGATTAGCACTGAGGAGAGCCCCACACAGCAGCACAGCACAGAGCTGATGAAATGAGGACCCCGAGTCTTCAAGAGAAGTGCCCTGACAGCTGGCATCTTCTGTTCAAGAAGGCAGGAACAGAAATAAATCTAGATGGACGATGTCCATCGGAAATGGTTAATAATGTGATTGGCGTAGCAGAAGTGAGAGTGGTGTCAGGTATTACCCTTGTGTGTTTACTCTGTTAGCTAAAACCCCAGAAGCTTCAACCTCAAGAAATAGGATAAACATTGCCAGGTTTCTAGTCTCACCATGGTGCCATTAACTAAACACCTCCTCTTGGGGTGGATATTAGATTGGTACCTTCAAGGCTTACCCCAGGTGTTTCCTCCTGAGTGGAGTGATGGAGATGAAACAAGGTAGAATCTTGATTGTTTGCAGACAGACGTCTGAGGTGTGATTCTATCTGAACAAGAACTGACTCCCAACCCAGACACAGCCAGGGACAAGAGAAGCATATGGACCTACGGGATGTGTTTCTCACCTTTTCATTCCCAGCACCCAACATGCTGCCAATAGTTGGCACTTAATAAATGCATAATGAATGACTGGTTACATCACACAACTGAGATCCTTTCTGGACATTTGTTGCTTCCTCTCTTCACCCCTCTCACCTTATTGTTCATAAATCAGTCTTGAAACATTTACCTCTGTTCCTAAGAAATACAATGGTTTATGTGTTCAAGTGGAGGGGGAGAAATGATGCCATGCTACTGTACCATGATCCCCTTACTGTAGTTTTTGATATTTTAATTAAAAACAAAAAGCATGAATGGCTTTTAGTCAGCCCTTATGTATAGAAAGTATATGTTTTATCATATGTACTATTTCTGAATGGCAACAACAATATGTTATGGTCCTCTCTGGATTTTTTTCTTAATCCAAAAATAAAAGATTTAACCATTTGCCATGTTCTTTCTAGCGGAAGATAATAGTCTGTCTCAAAAGAAGAAGGTCACAGTGGAAGATCTCTTCAGTGATGATTTCAAAATTCACGACCCTGAGGCTAAGTGGATAAGTGGTAAGTCCTGAGTCCTGCATGTGCATGGGAAGCCACTTTTCCACAGTTTGTGGGTTTGGTTGTTCTCATGTTCTCTCTTTGGCTGTGGAAGTGGATACATAAAGCCCGTGCTGTGATAATCATCTTATTATCATTCTAAGAAAATGTGGATCTGGTAAAATGGGGCTGTTCCTTCATGAGAAATGGGTCCTCTGTGTCACCTCCCTGAATCATTTTTTCTCAGACGGAGATGGGAGATGTTGCTAAGCAACAGGACCAGGCAGAGACACAGCCAAGCTTCCCTCCCTCACCCTCTTCTTTCTTCTCTTTTGTACAGCCCAGGCTTTCACTCCCCACTAGATAGAGAGGCCAAAAGAAATGTAAAGGCTTCTTGTCTAATATCAGCAAATGAAGAAACTATGGAGCCTGGTCCACATTTGAGGATAAATTTATTTTCCTCCCGAACTTTAGTCTGGATGTAATCTACTTTTCTTTTTGGGGGCAGTTTTTAAAACAACAAAACAGAATTGGAGGCAAAAGGCAGTGTGTTCATTTTGTGGTCCAGGACATAATCCATTTCATCCAATTGTGGCTGAACTAATTTTCAAGTGTAGTCATGGGAGAAAAGGTGTGAATGACCATGCACCCTCCTCTGCAGGCTGTGGTTCCTCCCCTTTAAGTAGTCCAGCCAGCAATACCTCTCCTGTTATCTCTACAATGTGGATTTCATTGAGGGAGCTTCAGTGGGATGCGCTTGAAAATTAATCCTCAGGTCGAAGAATGTTTATAGTGGAATGCTGGAGGTCTAGTTCAAATCCTGGTTTTTGTAATAAATGAGGTCCAGAGAGGTTAAGTGATTTTTTTTAGGTCACACTGCTTGCTAGTGGCACAGATGTAGTTGGAAGCCTGTCTCCTGACTTCCCATGTAGTGCTCTTCCCCCACTGTCTTGTTGAGTGACACAGTGTTACTGTGTTTTCTTTCTGTCAGGCTGCTTCTGAAATGCTTCTCATGCTTCACAAAGTCTCAAAAATCAACTAGCAATGACTCTTTGCCATTAGCCTCCTACTAAGGCAATAGCTTCTCTTTTGTCCTCAACCATGGCCTCAGTATTAGTTTCTGATCCTTAGATTAGCTTATTTAAAGATGAGAGGGATTCCTGGGTGGCTCAGCGGATTAGCGCTGCCTTCAGCCCAGGGTGTGATCCTGGAGACCCGGGATCAAGTCCCACATCAGGCTCCCTGCATGGAGCCTGCTTCTTCCTCTGCATATGTCTCTGACTCTCTCTGTCTCTCTCTGTGTCTCATGAATAAATGAATAAAAGATCTTTTAAAAAAAGATAAAAAAATAAAGATGAGAGAAGTAGATGGATCTCAGAGAGCATGTATTGTATTCAAAGAAATCAGGGAGAAATAGGAGCAGTGTGCAGGGAATAGCGGTTGGTGGTGCCCACAGAAACCCAAAACACGGATAGAGCCAAGGTCTTTTTGTTTGATGGAGGAAGTAGTTTTACCTTTTGTAAAAAGGGAGACTTTGCACCTGCTCTTGATTTGTGGTTATCCATTGCATAGGCAGGAGGAAAGTTCCAGCAGCACACTCCAGGCCCAGTCTTGAGAATGAAAGGAGATTATTCTCTTCTGAAATATTGCAAAGTCATATTCCAGAGACAGAGCAAACAATGGGTGACCAGTGGTAATCCTGACACAAAATGCATAGAGAAGGCATTTCACGGATGTTGTATAAACTCCAGTCTTAAAGAATGTCTAAGAGCTCAGTAAGAGAGAAAGCAGAGAATACGGGGATGTAAGGCTAGAATGTTAGTTTGTGCTAAATCTTAGTGAAAAAAAGAAAGTAGAGAGGAAAGAAGAGAAGGGGGAAGGGAGGAAACTTGGTAAAGGGGCAGAATCTAGAGATAAAACCAGTTGGAGACAAAAACTGAGTCATAGCTAAGAGGTTCAGAGCAGGTCAGAGGAAGCCCTGCGAAGATTCCATGTGGTGCTAAAATAACATACTTACGTCTGTTTATTAGGATGCCCATAGCTGCAAACTTGGCCTAAACTAGCATTCTATAAGCAAAAAATATTTTTTTTTTAAAAAGCAGAGATCTGGAGTCCTAAGAGCAGGTAAGTTTCTGCTGGAACCATGTTGGTTGTGAGGAGTTTGTATTTCTTGAGCTGATTCACACTGCAGATGAGTGGAGCTGGTCCAGAGTGTGCCGGCTGTCTGGCCAGAGGAAACAAGCTAACATTTCTTTATCCACAAAGTTGGGAGTTAGTACAAGCAATTGAGAAATGTCATCATGCCCAGCAGAAAATGCCCAGCCTGCCTGTTTGGCAGGTAAATTCTATTCATGAAGACCACCTACTATTCTAAATGAAGTGCCTTTGGCGTCCAGGAGCTTCCTTAGGAGTACTCTCCCTTTGTAAATGTCCACATTGAGGGTGACGTTTTGCTATGTAGCCAGATGGTCATGTCTCTCCAAAGACCAGGCACCATCCAGAGGGTAAGGGGACATGATTCTTTTTCTCCCCATCCTCCTTTTAGCTGTCCTCTTGCTGTTCTTTCCTGCATTCCTCTTCCTGGTCATTCCCTTTCTCCCTGCTCCTAAATTGGATGGATGAAGTAATGTTGCAGTGGTCGACTGAACCTTTATAATTGATGTTTCACAAATACCATAAATAATTTATTCATTTCTTTAACATCACAAATCTAAATGTGAAGATCCAAGGAAAGATTGCCACAGTCATAGGATTAGCGAATGGTGTGAAGCTGAGTGCACTTTAGAGATTATCATACCATTGTTTCATTCACTTAGTGTTTACTGAGTGCCCACCATGCAGCAGGCAGAGAGCAGGGCACAGGGAGCTGTTTTTTACTGGTAGCCTTGGAAGTCCCCTCTGTCAGGACCATCTACTACCACCATCACTACAACCCCTGAGTGAGTCTCCTTTCTCTCCTCTTCTTCCTTTCCCTTCTATCTGCCTCTCCTTTCTTCATCATCATCATCATCACCATCATCATCACCACCATCATCATCACAATCATCATCACTATCATCATCACTGTCATCATCACCATCATCACTATTGTCATGATCATCATCACTGTCGTCATCACCATTGTCATCATCACTATCATCATCACCATAATCACTATGATCATCACCATCACCACTATCATCACCATCATCACCACCACCATCACTGTCATCATCACTATCATCATCACCATCATTACCATCACCATCATCACCATCATCACTGTCATCATCACTATCATCATCACCATTATCATCAGTATCATCATCACCATCATCATCACCACTGTCAACATCATCACCATCATCATCAGATCACATCATATCACATCATCATCATTATTACATCATCACCATCATCATAGTTCTTATCACCACATCAGCATAACCTACTGGGGGGTTCCATATCTTATGCTCTAGGCTAAGTGCTTTGCATGTATTAAGTCATTTAATTCTCACAACCATCTTTATTCCCATTTTACAGATGAGGTAACTGAGGCTTAGGGTTTAAATGATTTGGTCAGTATTACAGTTGGTAAGTAGCAAAATTTAGACTTGAACCTACATCTCTCTGGTTTTAATAAACTGTGCTACATTAGATAAAACCCAGGTTTCTGGTGGATATCTGGTTTCTTTCACAACCTCACTAGCTACATGGTGTGTTTTATCCAAGACTATAGGTTGTAAATATTCTAGAATTATTGCCATCCCTTAAATTCTTTATTCTAGCATCCCTTATTCCCATGTTGTGAAACTAACAGAATACCTAAGCGATAAAGAAAGTGGTATAAATCCCCATGGAGAATGACTTGATTTTTAAATTTTTATTATTTTTTAGTGCACATTAATCACAAAAGTTAACAAGTGTATCTTGGGTTTAATATTGGAGTTAATAGTCTAGAACCTAATACACTTTATTTATTAGGATGAAATTTATTGGGTTACAGGTAAATTTCTCCTCACTACTTTTTTATACAAGAGACTTGTTTTAATCTACCTTTTCTGAAAATGATTGGTATAACAGCCATCATATTCTCTGCTCTCAAATATTGGTTGCAACCAGTTGAGGTCTGTAGATCAGTAGGATGGACAGCATCCAGCACACACACTGAGAACCCCCTACAAGGAAGGAGGCCCACACTTCCCCAGACTGGCCACAATGCATTTGCTCCATATACTCGCTTAGTGGAGGGAATCCTTCCAATTTTTCCAGAAACACATTGCACTTCTCAGCCTTGTGGGTCCCTTGATGCACTGTACTGAGATTCTGTGATGTGAGGGGGTCGGGCTTTCGCCCCAGCACCCACTGAAACTCCCCTGTATAGCCACCACTGACCTCCAAGTAGTTGCTCCCATGGTCACTTCTCAGACCTCATCTTACTTTACCTGTCAGCTGATTACTCCCTCCACCTGGGTAGACTTTTTCCCTTGACCTGTAGGTCATCCTATTCTCTTGGCTTTCTTTCAGTATCATGGGTGGCTCCTTCTCAGGCTCTTGTGCTGCTTCTTGCTCTTCTCCCTGACCTTTCATGGTGGTGGGGCCCAGGGGCTCAACCTCTGCTCTTCCCCTTTGAATATTTGCACTTCCTCCCTCAGTGTTTTCATTGAGTTTCATGACTTTAAGTATCCTCCATCTACTGATGCCTCCTAAATGTACATCTCCACACCACACCCCCCGTGAAGTTCTCACTGTCTCACAGACATCACAGCCTTCAGCTTAAAAGCCCCAAATCTGAGTTCTTGATCAATTCCCCCAACTCACCAAAAAACAAAAACCAGAAAATAACCCCTGTCCTATCTACAGCTGCTTTCAGTTCAGTTCACGGGAAGTCCGTTCTTCTGACAGAACAGGCTAAGAAGCTTGGAGTCATCCTTTGCTCTGTCTCTTGTACCTCACATCTGATGCATCTGGAACTCTTCTGCCAGCCCGCCTAACATACTCAGCACCCATCTAGACCCAGTCAGACATTGAGGCTCGTGGCTGCC